AGCATCGATATCCGGTAATAATGATTGCCTCCACATTCTACAGTTCCCGAGGGGTTCACGGCAGGCTTCGTTGTCCTCTGACATTTATTGTTGTAGATTCCTATCTAAGCAAGACCGATTTTAACGGATACAATGTACGAATAATTTTATGAATTATATAGAAAGTGTTTCTTATTAAACTCACCAGTCGGGTACCTCGAAAATTAAAAGAGTGATGTTGTGCAAAAGAAATAACAATAAGATTACAAACCCCAGTTTGGAATAATAATTTTATTTCCTTCGCGTTGGCAAATAAATGCGGTAAAATTAAAAATTATTAAAATAATGAGATCAAGATCACATTAAAACAAAAAATTTTGTTTCACCGGTTGTGATTGGTGTAATTTTCCACGAAAATCTATTCAACCAATTAGCGATCGCATTATCTCGAGCGTTGACATAACGGTTTGTTACTGTTTGCTTTAAAGGAATCAATAATATTGGTAACTCGAAGATTTAAGGATTTTTCGTTGCCAATATCAGCCGTGCCATGTGTTGCGTAAGCTTGGCGGTCAAGTGGCTTGTAAACATTTATGAAGGCTCTGTATATTTTTATTTATTAACATGTTGTTTTTGACCATCGCAAACGAATCGAAAGAGAGATATCTTTATGTGTATATGCGCAAGACATGTAACAAGAATAACAAATTTCTTTAATAGAAATAACCATCAGCTAGAGTAGAAAGGAATTTGAAATAATAAATTTATACCATAACATAAACTTGCACTAAGTGTAAGTTTATGTTGGAGCGGCACGCCAAGCCACGACAAAAGCCACGGGCCAAGCTATACGCTAAGCGCCTCGACAAATGCTACGAGGAGTGCGACAGGTGTACATGTTGGAGCGAAGCGCCAGGTACTCTTCTGTCTATAAATATCAGTTTTGTAACGTCTTGGCTCCAGTTTTAAGCTGAAAATCATATCAATATGTACACCGACTCGTCGTCTTCATCTGATGATGAAATTATGTTAGAATCGACTGCTAATAAATGGTGTTTGCTTAATAGCATAAAAAAAGGAAATGCTGTGTACATCCCATAAACCGGGGAGAAAAGTATTTGGAGAGTTTCATCATCTCTACCCAGAATTAAGAAAATTCCCAGTTCGATTTTTAAATCTATCTAATAATAATAGAGAAAAACATCTTTATTCCAGTCAAAAACAGTACGCCGATCAACGCGCCGCGCTCAAATAATACCTTGCTAGATTCTTTGCTCTAGCGCCTGGCTCGGCGCGCGGAGCCAAGCGTTTAGTACTTATCTTTAGTACTCCACTATGAACACTTCCATAAGAATGTATATGTTATGGACCAGGTGATTAATGCGGGCATTATTAATAATGTGCGGGCATTATGAATAATGTCTAGCACTATCGGGCTAAGTGATTAATTACTATATAAACTTCATTATTTATCACATTGGACGGTCATTATTATATTGCTACGTGACAATTGGGCAATTTGATAATAAAGCTAAATTTGACACGGTGCGGGGAGGGAAGCACCGAATTATACCAAATAATGAGTTTGATTGCTTAAACTTTAGTTTATTTTATGTTTTATAATAATATGTCAAAACTTCTATAAAACAAAGATATGGTGTGAATGTTTGTTTTAAATTTTATATGTTTTGTGTTACCTATATTTTTAATATGACTTTCCTTAAGTTTTAAATGCAGAAACTAGTGGATTCTTAATGTAGAAGTCCTTGCTAATTAATCCAAATAATGAGTCTGATTATTTAAATTGTTTAACATTTAGTTTATTTTAAGTTAAATGACAATAATAATAAAAAAATAGTAATTAAATATGTTTGTATTACTCTGCCCAAAAGGTGATGGACAATATGTATAATGCCTGGTCAATTTGATAATTTGAGTAATTATTATCAAATTACACACTCATATTGGGCATTTTACATAATGACCGGGCATTATGTATAATGCCCGATTTATCACTTGGTCCATAACATATACATTGAATAGTCGTGGCTAGGCGCCTAGCTTTTGTCGTGGCTTGGCGTGCCGCTCCAACATAAACTTACACTAATGGGCCGGCCACACATACAGGCTTTACCGCGCGCTTGCCTGCACAAACCAATTTGTATCGGGAAGCCCGTAGGTGTGGCCGGCCAAACGTTATCTCGCACAAAAAGCGCGGCTTGCGTAAACTTGGGGTTGCTGAAGACATAATTTGTGCAAATTCGGTTTGCACGGTAAAATTTGAGCGTGTGGACGGCGCAAGGTGTTAAGTTAAGAGAAATTGCGGCAGAAAACGTTAAATCTCTATATGATCTCCCTGTAGCCAAATATCTGACAGTACAACTCAATCCTTCATGAGGAGATATATTAGATTCGCGCATTACAGTATTTTGTCGTTTGTCAAATCCTAGTAATTCAGTATACGCCGTTTCATCCATTCTCATTAATTACGCCAGTTGTCAAGATCTTCTCTCAAATTATTCATTAAATTGATATGTATATGACCTATTTCTGTTCAGAAACCATTTATTTTTTTGACCATTTTGCACGGTGACGTATATTTCTTTTTTTTACTAACGCAACATAGAAAGAGGCTAATACCAAAAATTCTTAATGATTGCTGCCTGCAGTGCCTGCACGGTCTTATCTGCATCGTTTGGCCACAACACAGTGTTCCGCGTTTATTGCGCAAACCATACCGTGCAGGTAAGTCGCTGACTTGCAGCCACCGCATTAAATTTAGCTGAGACAGTCTAAACAAACTCCTAACTGTAGACAATGTCAAGAATTAAAAGGACCCTCTTTTCCAAATGGTATTTACCACACATTTTTAATTATGACCAAACGACACAAGAGATATTTACCTACATATTATTTTGGATAACACAAAGATACTGTTTGGAATTTAATTTATTTGGACAGTAGGCTAGAATTAGAAAGTTTCCATTCTATTCTTACAAATGCATTAGCTAAAGAAGGACGGACATAGCTTATAAAATCAGTGATTCTATTAGACTAGGTATGTAGGTATGTACGTATGTAGCGTTAGGTATGCAAGGATTATTGTGGAATCAGCCGATCATGATCGCCTGACAACAGAGTATGATGTGAATGAACCTTGGAACATATCCTACACGCTTACGGCGATAGTGTCGACGAGTGACAGAGATAGTTTAGGTACTGTCTTTCTCTCTTGCGTAGGCACATGATTGGTTACCGCAACTATCACGTGATATTCAAAGTGATTCAAATAAAATTAAGAGAGAGAGTTCCAAGCTATCGTTCTATTGCTCTACAGTGTGTGTTTATACTTTTTAACACGCACTGCTTCCTTCGTGTCCGCGCTAGCCTAAGGGCCACCTTAGCAAAGCGCATCTCAGGCTGTATAGCCGCACTACCCTACCCAACCATAAACATGACACCATCCCCGGGGTTTACACAGACGGAGGCGGCGAAGCAAGAAGAGCGCCAGAAGAAAGGGCCCTAGCCGGCGGGGCCCAGCCAGGACAAAAGGAGGTCCCACAAAGCGCCTACACCGGCCTCATTTGCGGTCGGGGTAGACGACGGATGGGGCCCACCTACGAAGGCTGTCCAGGCCTACACGAGATGCCCTCGATCCCAAATCATTGAGGCCAATTTCTAGCCATGGAATAATGGCGAGCGGCGCTTCCTCCGTGTAGTATCAGTGAAATGAGATCCCAGTGTCAAGCACTGGGATGACAGCATCATAAAGGAACTAGTGTCAGCTACTTGAATGACATCATTCTTTTTCCTGGATCCCAGTGTCAGCTACTCGGATGACACCATTTGTTGTAAACTCACTTTTACTCTATGGTCTTGCCGCTATCCTGAACGGATACCGGCAATTTTTTTTAGAACATGGCATAGGCCAACTCTTTTATTTGAAGTGATATACTAGCACTTCCAAATGCAAAATTGTAGGAAATAACTTGATTAAGAAAGATTTACAAATAATTCTTTCCGGTGTTGCCAGATTTCTGCAGTAGCTACTAAAACGATATTTTTTTAAATGGCAACACACTATATTTTTTTAACATAATTTGACAAACCTTCAAATTCTATATAGAATAGAATAGCTTATATCACATTTCTTTATTAGAGTAGCCGTTTTCCAGCAATCAGCAAACACAACGAAAATAATCAGTAGTCTTTAAAAAGAAGTACTTGAAAATGATTTTTAAATATTATAGGCTTTTTTTCGCGAGTGAATATTGGTGAATACGTCTGACTTGTAGTTACTGTTTCTATCTCTTTTAATCTTATTTCTAACCTTGTCTAACCTGAACAGATGGCGAAAATGTATATATTCACTATTCAGTGTATGTACTTTGACGACTTTGACATATGGATTAGTGATGGGCATAATCGACCAATTTTGATAATCGAGTTATCGGTAATCGAGTACTTCTAATAATCGAGTAATCACTCGAGATACGAGATATTGGTCGTTTTCATCCCAGCGGCGCACAAATATGTTTGTATTAGTCATATATTACTTATAAGCGTAGCTAAAAAAAAAAAAGCTCACGCACTTCAAAACCTAACCACTTTTTCGTTTTATTCTAAAAAAAAAGGTTACGCAATCAGTGACTATTTGCAGTATGCACTAACATTTTGGGGTGCAACCGTAGGGTAATAATCACTCGAGTGGTGGGAGTAAACATCTCGAGATATCTCGAGTGATCTCAATAATCGAGTACCACTCGATTTTTCACTCGAAATCTCCCATCACTAGTTACAAGTTTAGATCAAATGACTGAACTCTTCACCCTTCAGCTGAATATTCTGTTGGTATATTCAACTAGTATTGTCAGCCGGTAACTTAACCTTTTTCTTTTTGACATTTTGTTTGAATGAGGATAAAAATCGTTCAGCAAAATGATGGATTCTGATACGGCTGTGGAAGTGGTCAGTTTAAATTTAAACTTTAGAGGCACAGATGTTTTAGTAAACGTAGACGNATTCGATGTATTCTGAACACTGAAAATAAAATTACTGTAAATATTATTTCTTAATTTATTAGGTCCGTATCAAACAATTTGGCAGGGTACGTATTTAACATCCTTAGCATTACTACTATTTTTAAATTACAAATCTTTATTACCTTAAATTCAGTTGTCTCTTCTTTTTACGTTGTACCTACTCGAACTTCAGTAACGTTATAGGTCAAAGATGATTCACTTGATTGTAACATCAATTTGGTCAAAGCTCCTGTATTAATTGAACTCGATAAAGTACTCTTGCTTAAAATGGAAGAAGATACACCACAAAATAATTTTATGGAAGGTGCAGAGTTGGGTCGTACTATTTTTCTTCCACAAAAGGGGAGAAAATCATCCGCTTTAAAGTGTTCAGAGCAAATTACGTTATTTTTTGTCCATACCCAATTTTCTTTTTCGATAGAAAGAACCTTGTCCTTGTCCAGTAAAGTTTCATTTCTAGGAAAGCTAGAAATAAAAAAATTACATGTTTACAATAAAAATTTAGAATAAAAAGTGGAAATATCTTATTTTTGTGTACAGCTACCTAAATATTTAGAAATGTTTTGTATTGGACATCTTCTGCAATTTGCGCTTCCTTTCACAGTACAAAGCACAAGACATATTTAAAGTTCAATAAAAACGAAATTTACAAACAAAAATATGAATAACCTCAAAAAACACACCTGTGAACCTAACGTCAACAACAACTGCGTCACTGCGTGACGTAAAAGCCTTCAAAATGTCTGCGCCCGTAGCGTCCCTAGAAAAGTGGATGCGCACTCGTCGAAGCTCATTCTCCCCTACTCCATATCACTGATATAGAATTAAGGTCATTTGATCTAGCAACTGTCAACTGTTAAGCATCTTATTAATGCAACTTTTAATCATATACTTCGTGTAGGAGGTATGTGCTTTTAATTTTTAAATTGGGACATCCTAAACCCGAACCATACATATCTATAAATTATGAATGCTTACCTGCCAATATGCCTAGAAAGTAAGAAGAAGAAGGTAACCTTAAAATTGCTTAGTTATTGAAAAATCAAAACACAAGTATTTAATATTCTATATAACATCACTCTGAATAATATATTCAATTTTGTGAGTCGAATTGTATGACTTCTTATTTGTAATTATTTAAAAATGACTCATGAAAATATAGATTGTTTGGACAGGGAATCTACAAGCAAACAAAAAAAGCCTCCAAAACGTGGAATTATATATTTGTCATCTATTCCTCCATATATGAATGTTTCAAGAATTAGAGAACAATTTAGTCAATTCGGCACTGTAGGAAGAGTTTATTTACAATTAGCAGACACAGGTAAATTATGATATAGAAACAGAGACACGTTTAGAGTATTGAGATTTATTTTGTTTTTATTTTAGAATTAAAAAGTAAAGAAAAAAAATCAAAAAAGCATAAGTTTGCTAGGAAATTTACTGAAGGATGGGTTGAATTTGAACGAAAATCAGTTGCTAAAAAGGTTGCTGCATTATTAAATAACACTCAAGTTAGTAATAGGAAAAAATCTAAGCACTATGACTGCATTTGGAATATTAAGTATTTGTCAAGTTTTAAATGGACACATTTACATGAGCGGCTTGCTTATGAAAAAGCAGCTCGAAGGCATAAATTGAGAGCAGAAATACAATTGGCTAAGAAAAAGACCAATTTCTTCTCGGCAAATTTGAATAAAATAACAAAGGATAATACTTTTGTGAATAAAGAATATGAAAATTTGTCAAGTAAAATGGATGAAAATGTGGAAGTTCATGATACTGAGGACACTAAAAATCGAACGAAATTTTTACAATCACTTTTTTCATAAATGTAAATCTAGCTTTCATTATATTCTATAAATAAGGATTTTTTACAAGTATAATATCTAAATAAATGGGAAAAAAGCTCCTGACTATTACTTGTAAATATTTTCCATTTTAATATAATGGAATACATGACATGATTTTTGCAATTTATTCTAGACTGATTAGAAATCTAGAGAAAATCTTCAGAATGTGGAATTAATGATATTTTTGTCGGGTAAAGATTTAAAGGAAGTTATTCGTAATTGAAATGAAATTTATTTAAATAATACATATATATTTATTGAATAACACTGGTTTTCTTTTCTGTTTTCTTTTCATGTTCAAAGTGGGTTACTTTCTCCCCATTTAAATTAACAGCAAAATTATAATCTACTGGATTGGCCAAAGCTTGTTCTATTGCAGTGTCTATATTTTCAGAAGTAATATAACTTTTTGATTTTTCTTTCTCTTTACGAACAATTTCCTCAATTAACTGAAGCTTCTCTTGTCGTTTCAGTATTTCACGTTGAACTCTATTTCGAGCAAAATTTAGTTCATATTCTAAGTTTTCTGCTACTCTTTTCTCTCGCAATATTTTTTGTTCTTCATTCCACTTATTATTAAGTTCCATGGAACGAGCATAGTCCTCTTCAAACTGCCTTTTCTGTTCTTCGGGATCAATTTCTGTCTTACCCAATATGTAGTATGTATTAGATAAATATCTTCGAATGGATTTAATCTGTGTTTTGTAATTGTTGCTCAATCTCTTCAACTCAACTTCCTCATCTTCCGGTACTACAGGTCTTGGAGGAACTTTAAAAATTTTGCTTTTTGCAATCGGTACCCACCTGGGTTTTCGCCATCGAACTGTTTGTGAATTTATTAAGTTTGAATCTGTAGTAAGAACCTCTTTTGTTAAGTTCAAAATTCTAAAATTATTTGTAATCCGCAACATATTTTACTTTATTCCTTATTTAAAATAATCTTAACCTAAAATTTCCTGTTATGTTACTAACTTCTGATCAGAGTGATCAAACCTTTTTAGTTTTTTTTTTATTTTGCTCTTTGTTTGACAAGCACTTCAAGGACTTGATACATTGAATCTAAAGACATCTACGGCGACAGTGTAGATGAGTTTCAGAAATAGAAAGGTATAGTTTGGGTAGTGCCTCGCTCACTCGCAAAGGCATGTGATTGGCCAACGCAGCTCCTTCCACCAAGAATTGTCTTGTCTTTGCACAACGATTGGAGAGAGAGCAAGTACCCTAACTATCACCCTTTCTCTCTGCAGCATCTACTCTACACTGTCTTTGTTACACGCGGTGTACTTGTTCTTATTCCTGTACGGTGCTTCCTTCATGTTTTTGCATCTTGTTTAACATTTATCATACATTTTATTTACTTAATTATTTAATTTTAATAAACAATTGAATGGAATAAATGTATGAATATAAAAGAGATAGAAAAAGAACTATTAAAGTTTATTTCGAATGCCTACATGATTAATAAAGTTAGTATAAATTGAAAGTGCCTACAATTAATAGATTTTTGAACAGTTAGGTAGGTATCTTTTTTATCAATAATTCAGTTCTCTTAACTAAATACAGAGTTCGCAGCTATCGATTACTCACTTTGATTGTCAGAAAAGTGTCAACATTCTGAGGAAACAAGATTTTTCCTGCTTGTAATTCTATATTTTACTGGTGTACCAAAAGCTTCCCGTAATATGAACAACATAAATCCCGCAACAGGTACGTTAAAATAAATCTAGTTCCTCTGATTGCTTATTAATCCTGATAAACGGAAAAATTGTGAAATTACGGTGTAATAACGATCTGTGTACTAAATTGTTCAACTTGTTTTGCTTTTGTGATTAAATCGACTTTAAAATTGATAATAGCTTCAAAAAACGCCCTAAGGAATTTATGACCGGCTTTTAATTTTTTTTTGTGTATTATGACGTGTCAGAAGAAATAAACTAAAATATTGGTAATAATTACTAATCTATATAGTTGTTTTTTACAAATACATAATTATCAGCTGATTATATTATTTAATTGTAATTATACAATATATCCAATTAATTATCTTACTTTCTAAAAATTCTTTATGTATTTATGGTTGCCTATAAGATCTTACCATGGCCATTTGTTCAGGTGAAAGTTCTTGTACCTGAGTTCTTGAGTAGTTGAATTGAAATGGTGAAACGTGTTTGTTAGGTATGTGATGTGTCATATATACCAGCTGTTAATAAGTTTCCTGTGATGCAGTCATTACAAAAATACAAAATGTGTCAAAAGCATATGTTGAGTTGATAAATAAGATGATTGGAGATGAAGATCACAGTTTAGATTACATTGAAGATCCGTATTTCAATCCCCAAGATAGTACTTTGACGCCAAGCTTAGACGAATTAGACAATCCTGATTTGTATGATTACGACTTGTTAGAAAAAGAGCTGGAACTCTTTGATCTCAGACAGTTAGATTTTGACGAAATTAACTGTAATAGTTTACAAAATGATGAGTCTGTAAATGTTGAGGCTGAATTTTTTAATGTTAAAAGAGCCAATGCAATAATTAGAACATTCTTTAGGAATAAATTAAAAAGGCAGGTTCGCGTAACTTACTGTGATCTCACAAAGCCGTACTTAGCCAAACTACCTAAAGATAATAATTTTAGAAAATATTTAGGTATAACCATGAATGGTAAGTAATAATTATGACATTAATTTATTAAAAGTTTTTACTAAAACTTATAATTTTTGGGTTTACATTTAAGTTGCACAGATTACATTTAGATAATATAGGTTAACAATTTTAATTAAAGAGATACCTATTTTGCCATCTGGGAAGAAAAAAGTTGGAAAAATTAAAAAAATAATTAGGTATATCTCTAAATATATCCTGAACAATTAAAGCTTTTGAAATGAAATTTTGTACAATATAAGTACTTTAAGCATATGAATAAAATGGTATTCATCGTGAAAATATTAAATCTCAACTCAAACCAGTATATGTGTAAGTTTGAAATGCAAATCTTATTTTAATAAAAACGTCTTACTTTTTTGTTTAAATTTTTTTATTTGATTGGGAATTTCTGCCACAATGCAATGGAAATTTTTTTAATAACCCTTTGTGCCAAGGAATCAAAAAATTGATACTGATGGTAATAAATTTATTACACTGTTTTCGTTATCAAAACTCTTGTTCTCAAATTGGCTTAAAAGTCGAATGTTATGGTTACTTTTTTGTAGAGATGGGCAATGGTAAATTTTCCATCCCGGAAAGTTTCCAAAACGGAAATTTTCCGGGAAGAAATAATCGAAGCCTAAGAAATTTTCGCTGGAAAGTTTATAGAAAAATTTCCATTAGAAATTTTCCGGGAATATTTCTAACAATTTGTATGCTTGGAGCCAATTTTACTTCTAACTTCTGTGAATACAACCTCAAAAAATCGTTAGTTAATTTCGGATTTTCGGTTAATTCAGAATACCAGAAGACCATATTATCCAAATTAGTCAGAAAATACTTACACTTACTTATTTTAATCTTTGTTAAGTCTACAATCTACATATAGAGAGCAACACAAGACATAAATTACCTCTCCCTTTTCAAATTTAAAATTTTGATAGTTGAACCAAAGTATAATTACATTTTAAAACTAGTATAATTATTTAATGTATTTACTATTTATTTGTTAAAAAATAAAGATAAATACTGTATAGTGTTTGCGCACCGTAACCCGCAGCATGTAATTTTTATTAACCGATGATTAATAATTTATATTTTTCAAATATTTATACCAACTTAAACAAAAATGTATAAGTATTTGGTCTTTTTGGAAGGCTGATGGTATGTAGAACGCAATACCAAATCCAAAAAAAAAATTCGGAAAATTTCGGAAAATTTCTGGAATTTTCAATGGAAACTTTCCAGGAATTTTCATAGTTTGGAAATTTTCCCATCTCTACTTTTTTGTTTATTTACCTTGCAGATATATATGATATTTATTCTTTTATTCCTTATCCTGTTGTTGAGAATATTTACTGACAATAGTGGAAATTTTGGAAAAGAAAGCAATAGGGTAAAAAGAAAAGGTCCTGAGTCATATTTGGCTTTTAAGTCAATTTGAGAACAAAAGTTTTGATAATGAAAACACAAAGTTTTTATAAACTTTAACTGTGTAATGTGTTAGAGTGATTATGTCTTGAAGAATTAGGCAAAACTAAATTTATAAAATTAACACGGTTACTAATCCTTTTGGTGCACAACATAATAAATCCTTTATGATTTTTTTTCTCGGTGTAAAAGAGATACCCAATCAAATCAAAAATTAAATCAAATGAAAAAAAGGAATAAAATGGTTCTACAGATATATACTTACCTAACATTTTTGCGGAAAACTTTAACACTGTGTACCTCTAAATTGAGAGTTCGCACTCGAGAGAATATTTTTAAATTTGGACAAGAAACATACCCTTTCATTTGTGACACTTCGCTGTGTTTTAGAAAATTGCAAAATTGCAGGTATTGATATCACAGTTATACTATACAACACTAAAATTGTTATGGATATAGTTAAGATAGTTAAAAACTAATCTTCAGATAATAAAATAACCCTTCCTATTACATATTATAAGACTAAGTTTTATTCATTTTTAAGCTTGCTGTAAAGTACATACTTTGAAGTTTGGATTATTTGATACTTAAAATAATTCACAGAAAAAATTGAAGGTCAATTTTTATGTTACTAAGTTCAATAAAAACATCAGGATAATTTTTCTGTCAGGATTCAGTACAATTAGTGGAATTTAAACCAGATGAAAAAATTACAACAAAGTGAGACAGACATGAAAGTATTTCGCGGTTAAATATTGATTATTTTTTTTTAATTCAGTGGTTAATAAGTTTTGCTAAAGTGAAAGTTTATTCGAATAAGGATTTTCTGGTTGTACTGCAAATTAAGTGAATATCTGACCCATGGTTTTTAATAGAATAATGCATATTGTTCATAATTATACAAAGTAGAAATCAGTGAAAAAGGAGATATTTTACTACCACATAACTTTATATAATTGCTTAGATATAATATGAACAGGATGTAAACAGAAGTTACAGAATTAGAAAAGAATGTGTTGAGGGTTATATTACAACAAAAAAATAAATAAATGTAGAATGTATCAATAGTGAATAAACAAGTCATGGTATGAAATTTCAAATATGAGAGAATAGATAATACATAGTTTCACATTTTTTTATTCTGAACATACATTCCATTGAGTTCATATTTATTTAATTAGAAATGTATGCCTACCTTTGTATGTAACATATAATTAAATTAGTTTCATTTAATTTAAACTCGATACAGAAATAAATGTCTCTTATTATTTATTGCTTCTAGCTTCTTTTTAAATCAATTAACATATTTTATCCTTAATTATATCTAGTGGTGGCCGGTGTCTTTTTATACTGGCAATATTTTGATTCTGTGTATGTCCCATACCGTTTTTTTAGGGGACAATTTCTAGGTCCATATAAACAACTTTTGGGATAAAAAAGATTCCAGATGAAAATGAAAATAGTGGTATTCGACTCCAAAATCTCAAAAAGTACATATGTTTGCAAAGTATTTTTTTTATATAGATACAAGCAGACATTTTCTAATTTTTTATAATTTTAATTTTTCTTAATGTTACCGAAATGTAATTTTGTGAAAAAAGAATACCTAGTTGTTGATTATGAAAAAAATAATATAATAATAATTTACTTATCTGTGTTTGTTCAAAATTTCATCATGAAAGTTCTCTATGTGAGCCCAGAAATCATTACATAAAAAAATTGTATGACTCCTACAATTCATTATTAAAATATGACCAGTGACTGTATATCACATATTGAGACTGAAAAATGGTCACAGGTCACAGGCTGTAGTTTTTATTATATCAAATATATAATATTCACATCATCAAAAACCATAATCCTTATAAAATTTGTTGTGTTGAAATTGCCAAAACATGAAATGTTTTATTTGAAAATCTCTTAAGCAGAAGATATTTTAAAATAAAGGAACATTTTGTAGAAGAAGCAATGGCAGCTTCCGACCATGTCGCTCCTGACCTGTCACATTTATCCACTGAGGAAAAACTCGAGCAGGAAAAGCTGTGGAAGGAAGAACTAGCTCAAATTGAAGACGAAATTGCCACTCTCCGAACTGTACTAGCAGCCAAGATGAGAAGAAGCGCCGAACTCAAGCGCAACTTGGGCATTACAGTTTGGAAAGAAGTGTCTGATGATATCAATCAAGGAATTAAGAATGTTAAAGAGAGTAATGTGTAAGTTATGTTGTTTATTGCAGATCATAGTTCATGTTTTAATTAGAATAGGTGTAGGATTTTATCTAAGTATTTTTATGATGGTAGTGCATGATTTATTTTTCTTTACTTATTTTTGAAATAGATATCAAACTGTGGAAACTAAGGTTGGACAAGTTACTAAGGCCGTTACTGATGCTCCAATGTAAGTATAGTATTCATTATCTTATAGTTGTTTAAGCATGAGCTTAAGAATGCGTTTAATTTATTTGTGTGGAAATATTTTAAATTAAAACTATTAAGTATATTATGATGTATTTTCAGATATCAGAAAACAACCTCAATTATTGGAGGAATTACGGGTAATATTACAACTAAAATTGGCCAAATGAGACATTCAGAATCATTCCGTTCTATCGAAGAAAAAGTTGGAACAGCTTATGAAAATGTTAAGGTAAGTCATGAAAATCATAAATGACATGTTTTTGAAACTCCAGGAAGAATTTTTATTTGATGTTTGAAGATTTAAGTAAAATTTTCAAAATAAGCATTAGGTAATAGATTACCAAGAATTAAAATTAACTTATTGTAGGTAGAGTTACATTCAATTATCTTTAATAAAAAAATAACTATAAATATTGATAAAATTTATAGGCAAGTGGCTAATACTTACCCGTGAAGTACATTTTGCAGGTTAACTAATATATGTATAAACTTCAAAAAATGATAGTCTTCATGCGCAAATATTTTTTTAATGTGGCACACATTCAGAATTGCCACCTGATCAGCAATAGTTTTGTTTTTAATATTTGATATTTTTTTTATTTTAGGGCAATATTGTGCGTTTATATCAGGTTGGTATAGCCATTTTTTTGGTTTTCATGCCAAGAGACTTAATTCTGCTGCTAACAAGGGTTTTCATTGGATATTTTAAATTACTTAGAATATAGCTAATCTAGAACACATATTTTTTAAACATGTAAAGGATAATAATTAATCCAAGCAGTCCTTTAATATTTGCAACTTTTCACATTATAGTTTAACTTTTTACTTAATATCTTCTTTTAATTAATTGTTCCCATAAGATTTAATAAAGTTTAAAAGAGCTTCTCTAAAATATATAATGTCTCACAAAAATGTTTTTTTACTATTATCATTGTTTTTCGTTATTAACAGTGTTAATTTTGTTTTTGTATTTGTATTTATCGTTTTATCCTTTACATTTCAGTTTCTAGAAACTTCAATTTTCTGTATCTAAATTTTATTCTTGATTTACGTTAGTAAATCAATTTTTCTTTGGTTTTCTCGTCTACGTGGTTTCCAGTGAAATCTTAATGTTTATTTTTGGCTGAACTGTCACCTCACTAATCTATTAATCGAAATATGTTATCATTCTCTTTAACTCATGATTGTCAATGTGAATGCGTCTACTAAATGTGCTTGGTTATCACTGCTTTGTAAGCTTTTAGCTATTATATGTTCAATACAGGTTTCCTCAGGATAAATTTGAAATAGATTTCCTCAGGATATGCTGCAGTTGTGGTGTATAAATTTTTATATTGATTTAAAAATATTTTTATACATACGTATCGATTATTTTAAAATAATCTTATTTAGGATCAATATAGGAAAGAAAGTGTTTCTAATTCTTTATTTATTTGTAGTTAAAAAATGAGAATGGTTCAGGTAATCTCTTAATGTCATTGCATTGAACAGATTAATAGTTATAAAATTTAACGTCTCAATTTCGTTTTACTATTGTTTTCATAATTTGTCATAACAATAAACAGTAGCTTTGTAATTATTTTATGGTCATATTTAAATTTATGATTTAATGTCATGTAAACAAATCATTGTAAAGTAATTAAAGTAAAAAATTTAGTATCCAGATTCAACTAATAAAGTTACGTAATTCACAATTTGTTACAAGAATTACAAAAAATCTAATATTACATAATTAACGTTTCAACAATCCCACTCTCATCATTTTTAGGAACTAGTTACCTGACTATTATGTCCTCAATAGTGTTTTAATATTTCTAATTTTATAATAATTGGACTCATAAGAACAACGTTTAATGTTAGGAAATGATGACCTATTTTCAGAAATAGAACTCCTACCTAAATGATTTTGTTTATCGATTGTTAAGATTAAATATTTGCTTTGTTTATGTTATTAAAAATTAAATATTTATTTATTCTAAGGTCAAGCAATTACATTGTGCCATTAGCAAAAATATTTATTTGACCATTGTCACACTATTTAAAGCAAACCTCTCACATTGTATCATTTAACCAATTGATCATATTTTTTATATACAATTTTTTTCTTATACAAAATTATAAATATTTTTGGCCATACCACTTTTTAATTTTATTTTTCACAATTAGTTTTATGGCCACGTNCAATTTACAAAACAAATTTTAGCTCAACTATGTATTTGATTTGAAATAATTTCAGATTAGTATTCTGGGGAACACATACTATTCCAAATATTTGCTTTGTTTATGTTATTAAAAATTAAATATTTATTTATTCTAAGGTCAACCAATTGACATTGTGCCATTAGCAAAAATATTTATTTGACCATTGTCACACTATTTAAAGCAAACCTCTCACATTGTATCATTTAATAGATTGATCGTATTTTTTTATATAAAATTTTTTTCTTATAAAAAATTATAAACATTTTTGGCCATACCACTTTTTAATTTTATTTTTCACAATTAGTTTTATGGCCATGTTTTTATTGGCACCAATTAGGTTAATTGACAACTCAATTAAATTGACTCAGAAATATCATGCAGTTGTCGATTTTTCGATTAATCTACTTCTACATCATCTTCAATAAGCTTTCAAAAAATCAAATAGGTAACTCCTTGAAACTAAAAATTATTTTACATTTACTGATTTGCTTTGTCAATAATGCCTTAAAAAAATTGTTTACCATGACAATAAACTGATATGTAGTAGTTAAAACATTTTAACAAAAAAGTATATCTTAACTGTTAACACATTTTTTAAAAATGAATAGGCATTTCGCAAAATTATTTTTTTGTAATTCAATATTTGCAGCAGTGGGAAAAACTTTTTTATATAAGTATATGATTAATTTTAATAGCAAAATTGATACAAAAAAATACACGGTGTTACTTTAAATGAAGGTTGTATTTATACAAGGACTACTACTTTACAAATACTTACTATAAATATATTTTTTTTAATTTCTGACAAAATTGACGTTTTTGATATTTTTTTGTAATGTTTATACCTCACCAGGTTAGTCTAATCTCAAACCACACGCGTTGTAGCTGTTTTATGTGGACAATTTATTCATGAATTAAATCACGAATTTATTCATAAAGGGTTTGGTTTTACACTGGTACAGACTTTGTGAATTTCTTTGACAAAAATCAGTTCCACCAACAAATCAAAGTAGCAAATAAATTTCAAATTTCATTAAAAAAATATGACATTTCCGCATATGGTACAACAGTGGTACCAATTTGACACTGTTTATAAATATTAATATTTGGAAGCAACAGATTGGTAAAAAACGATACAAAAGTAGTACGACGCCACACAATTATTTACATATGCTAATAACATAACCTCATTACTGATCGGAGGCTGAAGATTTATTGGGTTGGTACTTCTGAACTTCATGAAGAAATTCGCGGAAATTAGAACATGTTCTAATTGGTGAAGAACATGTTCTAAGAGTGCATGGCCAATTGGTAGCTGTGACATGCATTGTTGTCAAATCTCGCCTGTCTTGATTCATGTACATGTTTTTTATATCTCACCAACATTTGACAATGAAAACACTCAAATAAATAATTTCATAAATTTATTGTATTCGGCCATCTCCTGCCACCGAATTAATGTCAGTCGTTTGTTTCCTGAAGTAGTAAAAAATACTTTTTATTTATTTTGTATGATGTAGATTTTATAAAACAGCAAAATATTACACAGGGCAGCAAAATTTGAGGAAAGATCACACTCAAAAACCGAACCTCACCTGCCCAAAGGTTTTTGGTGCTCAGAATCCAAATCTGGCGTCAGAATTGCTCCTATATGTCACGTTTCCGAGATATCCTAACCTAAAACTGCAAAAAACTGGTTTTTTTTTTTGCTATATTTGAGCTTATATCACAGAGCAAAAAATGTTTTCTAAGAACGAATCATGCCCTCTAAAACCACCACTCTTACCCTTCAAAACCCTTATTTGAGATTTGAAAAATCCTTTTTATTTGTGGAGATATCATTGAATGAAGTTTGGTACTTTAGCGTTTTCATAACAGTGGTACTAAAATTGAAGAAAGTTCTTCAGAAAGCAGAAGTAATATGTTTACATGTTTTTTGGGTCGCCCAATCCGAATCTGACCTCCAAATTATTCTATCACTTAGGATTCTGAGATTTCCTAACCTAAAACTGCACAATCAATGATTTTAGGCAGAATCATCGGTATTAACCTCTATAACTGTAACACGGAGCTATTTAACATAGAAGCACGTAATCTGCAAATACTACACCCACAGCAGGTTAACCTAAGAGCACAATACTTACTACCACAATAACCACTACCTGCCCACGACAGGTTAATATACACAATAACCTGCAAGCGCTAAACCCCAGACAGGTTAACCCAAGTGCAGAATAACCTGCAAAAAAATCGTTGACTTTGCAGTTTTAAGTTAGGAAATCTTAGGATTCTAAAGTGAAGACAGATTAGGATGACCCAAAAAACATGTAAATATATTTCTTCCGCTTTCGGAACAACTTTTTTCAATTTTAGTTCCACTGTTATGGAAACGCTAAAGTACCTAACTTCATTCAATAATTTCTCCACAAATAAAAAGGATTTTTCAAATCTCAAAAAAGGGTTTTGAAGGGTAAGAGTGGTTGTTTTAGAGGGCATGATTTGTTCTTAGAAAAAAATTTTTGCTCTGTGATATAAGCTCAAATATAGCAAAAAAAACGTGTTCTTTACACTTTTAGGTTAGGATATCTCGGAAACTTGACGTATAGGAGCAATTCTTACGCAGAATTCAGATTCTGCATACCAAAAACCTTCAAGTGTGATCTGGTTTTTGGGTGTGAAAATTGTTGTCCTGTGTTATTATTTTAAAACAAATTAGTTTTACTCACAGATAGTAACATATGCCTATCTACGTTAGTTGATACTTCATAAGCCATGCAAAAAAAACGGGAAAATTTTTTGACGATTTGACAATAAAATTTGCCCCTATTGACAAAAAAAAATGTGGAGACTTTAAATAACATCTACAAAATAACATTCATACAAAAGCAATCTGTTTATATAAAATAATTTAAACGCAATTTACAAAACAAATTTTAGCTCAACTATGTATTTGATTTGAAATAATTTCAGATTAGTATTCTGGGGAACACATACTATTCCCCTAAAGAAACTCACCTTCGCTTAAAGTTACACCCTGTATATTTGTAATACGCTTGCCAATTAATAAGTGGTAAATAAAATAGAGTGTAAGTACCTACCGTTTCTTTTCCAGACAAAGGTCGTCTCTCGTTCCAACTCCCAGCAAAGCCTGGATGAAGCCGGACGGTCCCGCTCAGGTTCTGTAGTGACTAGCCCTACAATTCCTGAGGAGAAGCCAGTGGCGTAAAGCTTAAGTATCTATAAGTCCAGCCAATAATGCCTTGTTAGCTTATCTATAAACTGCTCGATTCTAATTTTTAGTTAGTTTCGTGTCTAGTTTTAAATTAAGGGTATATCCTTATAACTCACATAACTTAAGAATCCATGTTTTAAACTAAGATCAGTACATGTTTAAGATATCTTCATCAAAAAATATAATAAGACTTAAGTAGATGGAAGAATAGTTTTTGTACAGGTTTACTATTTCCTACAAAAAAAAATGTTCAAGTGAAAGCTATTTTTCATATCTTTCGAACGGCTTTAAGGATCCTATTAGTTTATTTTATTATTATATTTTACTGATACACTATGAAATAAATATAATTTGTGCAAAATGTACTTATTGCGTTGTAATTTTTACCTCCCTAAAGGAAAATGAGCTCATTGTCGATTTTCAACAATAATAGCTTTCTCGTTCCAATAGCAAAGGTTGGCCTAGAAGTTGAAGAATTATGTGAGGGATGGGACGGCATATCATTATTCAATAGGTCACAATAGCACCATTAAGCGAAATTTGATGTGTATGCCGATCTAAACCCTCAGAAAATCTGGAATTAGGTAATTTCATAGATCTGAACATGTTGGAGAAATATGGGGATATCTTGGAATTTTTTTAAATTCCAGTATTCCAGTTAGTTATAATTGGTATTTATTTATAAGGTAAGTACTGTCACTGTGTCACTGAATTATTTTATTAACATTTCCATTTTTATTATACACAAGGTGTCTCGAATTGCAGAATCCTAATTTTACTTGTGTACATGCAGATAACGGCTCCACAAAAAAAAAAAATCGAGAAAATTACCTCTGCAGTCTGTCATATGTTTTCGGGATCGCTGTATTCAAATTCGGGGTCCATTCCCCGGACCCCATCATGTCAGGATTTTTCATAACCAAAAAATGGGCCCAAAAACCCAATAAATCCTCTGTCCATTGACCACTCTATCCCAATAACCCCTTAACCCCATAATCTCAAAATGCGTTATCAGGGAACATGGCAGACTATTGCTGGAATTTGAAAAGAGCTACAAACAAAAATCATAAACGGCATTCACTCTGTAGATCTTTTGAAAGTAAAGTGTTACCACAAAAAAATCTAAAGAACATAAATAAAGGTAGGAGTTTCATTTTTTATAATTTATTAATCGTTCTTTTACACATAGTCAATTTATCTTATTATTTTATTTTTGCTATTTGTGTGAGGCAAGGGGAATACACTTTCAAAAAACACCATGAAAAATGAGAGGTAAGAAGACCTCACTTAATAAAGCACCCCAAAGGGAACGAAAGCGTACTACGTCCTAGTCGTTGTTCCTGGGTTCTGTAAAACATAGGTTCTCTTAAAGAAAGTCTAACCGGGTTATGGACTTTCGGAGTTATAGAATATAGAACATTTGATGAATGTGGGTTTAAGGCTCAAGAAGCATGCATGGCTCGAAGATACTGTATTTCAGGACTTCAACACGCATAAGTCTCTTTCTTACCGGGTTCTGGGATTTTGCGGTTATAGCATTTTGATGTTATGGGGTTATTGGGATTGAGTGGTCAATGGATAGAGGATTTATTGCGTTTTTGGGCCTATTTTTTGAGGTTATGAAAAATCCAGGGGTTAAATGGACCCCGAATTTCGATTAAATGACCCCGAAAACATATAATAGACATAGTTAGACTCCAGGGGGAATTTTCTCGATTTATTTTGTGGAGCTGTGTAATAGAATAGTTCTTAAATAAACAAAGTGTATATTTATCATTTATTTTATATTTACAAATAATATAAATGTAGTTACTTAAAATACTGTTCTCTAATAGAAGTTGGCAATTTTTTGCATGGCATGTACATAAAAAAAAATATATTTCCAGTGGCGGCTCGTGAAAATTAAAGTAGTCATATTTTGATAATGGAAGCATGGGATTCTTAGGGAATGATTTCAGTGCAGAGAACTTTCGTGACAAACAAATTTCGAACGAAATTTGCAAAATAAAAAATTTAAATCGGAGATACAACCAGCTGTATATTTAGTTTTTTGTCATAATATAATTTTTATTTATTATATTTAAACTTTAATCTGATACTACAGACATTCTGTTTTTCAAACTTTATAAAAAATTTTAAGAAAAATTAAAAAATGTCTATTTATATCTTCCAGATGACTATTAAAAAAATGTTTTGCTTATATGTTTGGAACTCCAAATTCTATTTCACAAATTCTGAAATTTTTTCTTCATGAAAGTACCTTTTTGGCCCTAGAAATCATCCAATCATCATTATCAAAATCTGACCGAACACAAGCCGCCATTATGTATTTCCCATTTACAAATTTTTTTAATACATGAAATGTTTATTAGGGACTGCATTAGATGATCATATAATTGTGATTGTGTTTATTTACTCATATCCGGAATGCATTGTCAACTTAATAATGAATTTAATTTTTAAATTGTTTATATATTTTTTTATGATGCCGAAAAACACCTTCAACATTCTTTATGATTATACAACTTTTGTGACTAGTTTGCACATATATTCAATCACTGGGTTCCTGGCATTATGTGACTACAGTCACACAGAAGCAAGATACTTCATGAATGTTTTTTCTCCTTGGTTAAATCATAGTTCCTATCTTCCTGCTTGTGTTTCCCCTTTATCAAGTTATTTCTAATATTTTGGAAAGGCAATTCAAATGTCAGAGTCAAAACTACTGATAAGAGCACAACCCAGAAGTACTCCTTCAGATTCAGAATCATTCTGAAGAAACTAGCGTTTTCTGATGATCTTGTTACTCCAACATTGTAGAAATATATTGGAAACTGTGTGAGGTATACAGTGTACGATATTTTTGTCCAAAATCTAAATATTGGAGCTGAAAGAAAGCTGCCCACCAAACCTGAAAAATTAAAAGTGAAATAGTTCCATTTATATTAATCGTTCACTTTTACCCCTGTATCCTGCTTGTACAGTGAAAATTATCCAACAGAATGAAATGCACCAAAGGATAGGAGATATCGCCGCATACCATGCGGCATCAGTTGGGTCATAAACATAGTCTATAGAGCTCATAAATGATGGTCCAAAGTAGGATATAATAAAACTAAATAATGCTATTGTATTACCAAAACGTATTCGAGTCTAAAAGAAAAACTGTCGTAAGAAACATAAAGAATATTTTAATTTTTTTACCTTTGTTAATTGTATATGCCTAAAGCTTCGAAGGATATAGCCTAGAAATATTCCCATTATGTAAACAGTAGCTCTATGTACCGGTAAGATGTACATATTATCGGCAGTTTCGAAGAGTTGTTGCACCCTAGAAAATAATTGCTTTAGTGTTAAACTTGCTAGTTAAGAACGTGTATATTTACGATGTTCCAAAATGAACATAATTGGATAACCTCATGGAATATGTAACATAATATCGCATAAATGTGGAAATTGATGCTAAAGTAATTAGGATGATTGTTCCATTTTTGGGCCACTTCCAAATCATCAGGATTAAGAATGGAGATATAAAGAATAGTTGTGTATCAATACCTACATGATGGGTATGGGTCAAACACTAAAAGAGAAAAAGCATATTTAAATGAAAACTCTGTAAAGTTATCCTGAAGATAAAAAAATTAGTAGTATTTTTGCAATGTATTAGGCAAGGGTTTAAAATATTAACTACTAAATAGATTATAGTTACCATGTCTTTAAATCCAAAGTAGTTATGAATAAACAATAAATTCCGCCACCAATATTTCTTACAAATTGTAGAATGGTGTGTCACTACTAAATTCCATAATGGGCCACTATCAATCCATGGTAAGACGAAGGTACAAAAAATAATTACAGCTGCGAATGATGGTACAATTCTAAATAATCTTGAAATGTACTCTTGAATTATGTTTATTTCCTTATTCCTATTTAGTTTCCCCAAAAGGGAATACGTTGTTAAAGTAGCAGAAATCATTATGAAGGGATCAGTGTACAAGCTAGCTGCTCTTCCCAAGACACTAAATGGTCGAGATATGTACTAAAACAAAAAGTATAATAAAGACATTTTGCTTTGATACCGTAGTGCCACAGCGATTTTTCTGTGGGAATAGGCATCCAAAATTATTGTGAACAATGTCTAGATACTTTTAAATGTCCAAAAATCATCAGTTTTAAAATACTGCTGTTATTTTTTCTTTATACAGTTAATTATGCTCAATTCCAACACTATGGTCTTATTTAAAAAAAAAATATGTTTTGGGGGAATTAGTAGAAACTCATTTTGTGCAAAATTGATTTGTTGGTTTTAATGAAGGAATAAGTTTCACTTATGTGATAGAAACGTACAATTTTTATTATTTTTAATGATGTCAGATTTGAAACGGCGAATTTTGTCATAAAAAAAGTGAATGGTTCGGAATTTTAATACAAAAACCTAATATAAGTTTAAAATAATTTATATTTTAATAAATAATTTAACATTACTGCCACTTTCTAAATCAAACAATGAATTTGTTAAAATTAAAAATATAACAATATCTAAGTACTCAGTAACCGATAGATTCTATTTTCTTTGTAAATTGAAAGTTTTTCCACACCCAAAAACAGTATATCTACAATCTTTAGTTTAAAATTGCCGCCGATCTATTGAGAAATCAATTCGACAAATAGCATGGTACATGTATACTCCTCGCTGTTTATGTTCTCCTATTAACAAATAGGGAAATTTCCCTCGGATTCGAGCTTATGGTTGCTTAAAATTGTCTCCCACGCTCGCACGATCATTCCGTTAACCGAAAATATGCTTCCCATAATAGAAATAACATGGCCATAGGTGCCGGCGTAGCAAAAGACGTAATCGATTCATTTTATTTTTACTTCTTGTGCGTATGGGTTCCTAATACAAAAGTAAGAATATCGCGTCCAGAGCGCCAAAGTACTGGGAATCGGAAGGAACACAAAACGTTCGCCGAAGATGCGAAATTACCAGACGAGGAGTAGGATACCAGCAACGCGAACAACTTTACGTAGTTCGTTTTATAGAAGCGGCTACCGATAAGTCTCCTCTCACTCATGTTCTCCTAGTATAATGCCAGACGAATCCGACTCCAAACGCGTTCGGATTCACACGCCAGACGATGTGGCTTCCTTTAAACGGGATTAAGGTTCTGTGTGCTTTTTCGTTTTATGGGATCCTGTTACAAATTTGGTTATTGTAGAGTAAAATGGTTTTGAAATTATTTTGGAGCGTGACTATCGTTTCAATGTGTCACTGGTTACTAAACTGAATACTTCACACAGCATAAACACTTCTTCCTACCTATTCTATCCTTTGTGATAGAAGTACGCAGGCGTCAGAGAAAAAATTCTTCTTAAATTGATATGGTTATTTATGGACTGCACTACATAGATACCTTATTATTTATTATGTAGTTTTAGTACTTGTATACTTTATACGAAAATATAATAACAGTAACCGATAACACTCTGTCTTGTCTGTAAAAGAAATAAACGCAATATTGTGTTTATTTATATTTTTTTAAATTTATCAGTTACTACAGACAATTGTATTTAATAATTAATGAATCTTTTAATTTAATTTAATTAATTTAATCTTGTCTTGAAGTTGGAAACTTTAAAATGAAACGGTTCAATTCGCAATGTTTTTCACTTGGATACTTTTCTGTGTTATGTTGATAGATTATACGGAAGAAATATGTATTAGGAGAATCGGCATAAAGAAAATGAAAGAAAATTCATTTACCTCGACAAATTCTGTTCTGTTGGCAAATGGAAGGAAAAATAGAGCCATTGACTTATGAGCCAATAAGAGCAATATGGCATTTAAACTTCTTATTCCATGAACCGCTTCTATATCATCAGAGCTTCTTTTTATAGTCGTCAGAGATTTTAAATTTTTCTTTAGAGAAAAGGCTACAATCCATTTACCTGAAACAAAATATTTGCAGTCAAATTCACATCTGTTCAATATTAAATATATTCAGTGCCTGATTTACAGTGGTGTGAGCCTGTAGGCTTAAAATTGCTGGGGGCCTATTCAAAAAATTATATTTTTCAGAATAATTTTTCTTTCTTGTCCATGATGGGGACGTCTTAAAAAATTTTTGTTAACATGGTGGGGGTCCCTAGTTGGTGGGGGACTGTAGGCTGCAGCCTACACCAGCCTATTAGACCGGAGTAATGGAAGGTAACCGAGAGACAAGTACGATAAACTAAATTTAAAAGATGGGCTGCGGGACACCTTTGTGGAAATTCAATTTTTCTTTTCAAAAAAATAATGTGTACAGCGACGTATTTCTCACTTATGCCATATTCGTAAGTTGAAGAGAAATATCGATTTTATCACAAAATTTTTTTGGCATAAGTGTCGCAAGGGACCTAAAAATGGAAAACTTTGTAAGAAAATGTGAAAAACATCTTTATTTGTCTACCAATTTCTCATTAATGCCAATTAGAAATATGACATTATTATATTCGAAAAGCTCATAAAAATCATTGGCATAAGTCCTACTAAGGACTAAAGAAAATAGAGCTTTGGAAAAGCTGCGGAAAAATTTTATTTTTATTCTATAACTTTCCCATTTATGCTGTTGAAAATTTATGATACTATAAATAATGTACTGTGCCAAGTAGGCATCACCCCTCTATGGATCCAATATGAAGGCATAAGTCCCAAAGTTGTAGGAAAATTCATGAAAATGTTTATGTCTTTTTCACTTATGCCATTTTGCATGCACGTAGAAAACTACATTATAGAGTCAAATAAATGTAGGCATAAGTCCACATTGGATTTTCATGTTGCAAATTAATTTGAATTTTAATACGAGTCAGGTCGACAAAGTAGAAAAATAATAGAAAATTGACACAATTTTCTCGTTTATGCCATTTCGAACACTAGTAGAAAATATTATTAAAAGCCACTTTCAAGAGTGGCATGAATGCCACAAGGTACTTATGCCAATATTTTTTATGAGCTTTTGGAATATAATGTCATATTTCTAATTGGCGTTAATGAGAAATTGGTAGACAAATAAAGATGTTTTTCACATTTTCTTACAAAGTTTTCCATTTTTAGGTCCCTTGCGACACTTATGCCAAAAAAATTTTGTGATAAAATCGATAGTTCTCTTCAACTTACAAACATGGCATAAGTGAGAAATACTTGTCTCTCGGTTACCTTTCAGTACTCTCAGAGGCATAAACGAGAAAGACGTCGTCGAACTTCAGTCTAATATCTCCCGGTCTATATAGGTAAATCAGGCACTGAATATATTGAGGAAATAGTTTTTCCATTACAAAATATACAATAAATAAAATAATTCTAAATACAGTGCCTCAGAAAAGGTTGGAAATAAGTTCATGTATAATTTTACACTTGCTTTTAGTGCCACCATACAAACGTGTATGCAAAATTTCAGCTCAATCGGTTGGGGATTAACTGTTTTAAAATTCAGTTACAAAGTTTGACCCATAACAAGGTAAGTTAAGTTAAATAAAAGCTTATATAAAAATGAAAAGGTTCCATATGTTCAAATTTGTTTCTAAAGAGTCATAACTTTATAGCCTATTTTAAGTGTAAAGTTTTTAGTTAAAAAAAAACGGCTGAGATAGAAATATTAATTTTAACATGAATACACTGCCAGTAACTATTAGTATATTAGCTACCCATTGTTTTACCATCTCTAAAGAACTAAAATTATATTGTACAATTTACATTTTTCTTTCAAAAGAAATCTAAACTGTACCTATATTATAAAGTAGTTTATTTATTTAGAAACATTTTATTTCTTGTTTTGAATGGAAAAATTACACTTTTGATATTTGAAGAATTTTTGGACATTGAGGCTTGTGTAATAATTCTAATTGTCAACTCTTATCGTTGCTGTTATCAAATCACTGAATATAAATCAAATTTAGTCCTTCATTCTTTTATATGTAGTAAGTACATCAGGTCAATTAGTAAATAGAAATTAGGAAAAATTAATTCCTGGGCTGAAATCAGCTAAAAACGCAAAAAATCCAAATAAATGTCGCCTGTCAAATTGCCCTCAAAGAAATAAGGTCCCAGTATGCAATTTCCTACTATTCCAGCCCAAACATTCATTTTTTCCCGCTGTTGTGTATGATTTTCTTGTTTTCCAAAACCCAGTATTTTGCCTGTTCATAGTTCCGTTTAAGCAAAAAGTTGCTTCGTCAGTGAAAATTATGTGATTTTTTAAATCGGATTGTCTTTCAAATATCTACATTTCTTATTTTCCCGCAAAACTGTAATCTTCTGTAACTTTGTAAGGATGCCACTTTTAAGACTACAGAGTTTTGTGAACTAAGGACTTCGACAAGTTGAAGATCTAATGGATGAGTGAGGATTTTCAGTAACAGCGAGCATCACATTTTGATGGTCATTTTCGCTTACTGTTCTTCGCCTTCCTGATCCAGTGGATACTTTACTTATTGTAGCTAGACTAATTCTCTGGTCTAAATATTTATGATAAATAAATCAATTCTTTGTTTTTCACTTAAACGGGCAACCATTTTTCAAAATAATTTAACAACGAAAGAATTGGAACCAAAATGATTCACTTTATACCTAAGGTAATCTGGTGAATTTTGTGTTTATCAATGTATTTTTATTTGAGAAAAAAAGCTTTAAAGTAAGTACAAAAAGATTAATAAAGAGAAGGCACGTTTCTTAAAGTATACAGAAGAGACTATGATTGTTTAAAATAGTCGTCAGTACGACATAAAAGACAATTTTTTACATTTTTTGACAACTATGACAGAAAAGTCTTTAGAAAGGCTATCTATTTTACTATAAAATATGGAGTCCTATTAAAAAAAATGTCGGTAATGTTATAGGTCTGTCAAACATGGCTCAAAAGAACAAAAAATATTGCAAAAAAGTGACAATTTTTATTTACTAATTGACCTGTTTCAGCGATTTTTTAAAATCTGAACTGGAAAAAAAATATGAATTTTGTTCCATCATTTTGGGACACACTGTATATAGCTTCATCCGTCTCTACAACCTAATGCAGAACCTATTAGCATATATCAACAATATTTGAAGCTTAGTAAATCGAGGTTTACAGTTATAAAGTTATGCTACTGTCGCTATTTTACATAAATCACTAAATATTATTATACTTATATCTACAATTCTACATAAAAATAATCTCTTTTTAAATCATTTAAAACTTACTGCATCATTATCAAGAATTAGGTCTTATATTTATATGACCTTTTAGGAGTAGATACTATGTAAAGCTTTTAAAATAACATTTTCAATAGATACAACTTTTTATACAATTTAGTTACTGCTATTTAAACAAATGTCGAACATTTACATTGTAATATGTTTAATTTAACAGGCACAATAAAAACTTATTTTAGTATTGTATGGTGTAACATAATTTATAACAAATTTGGAGATACACCCTTTTGAATTAGCAGGACAGTATTATTCTTTTGCAAAAGGCTGTTACTCGTAACTGTTTTACAGAAACTTTCTCGTCACATATAAGTAAGAATATTTTTGAAAATTGAAATTTCATTCACAAGAACTATGGAAAATAACGAAGGGCATCAAAAGTTAATAACTAAATACAGCATTATAATATATTTTTGTTTTAGTTTTGAGTTTATTTTGTTCTAAGCCAATGTCCGTGAGTAAATCGTACATTTCAGGTTCGTATTAAGAAACCGAGGTATTTATAGGAGCAACATTTTGTATATAATAACGGCGTATAAGTGAAATCACCAAACATTTTCTTATCGATAATTAAATGTTAAATAAATCAAGTTTAAAATATAACTGCTGGACTAGAGACTATATGACTACGTAGTAGAACAAAAGGGTATCGTTAGTAGATTGTACATTCCACAGTTTTAATTTGCTGAAATGTGTCGTATGTACACATTAGGTGTTCCCTAAGCTGTAATTTAATTAAAATAAAAATGTAAACTTGTTTTTTATGCTACAACGTATTAATTACATATTTAATTTTAAATATTTTAAATATGATATCATTATGATTTCCTCTTCAACCGTTAATTATTCAAATTCAATTTTTGACAAAGAAGTCTTGTTAATTTTCTTGCACTCTATGAATAATGGTCACTACCATATACTCGTATACAATGAAATATTTATTATATTGTCTAAATGTAGGTATTTATTAGTGGTGTGTCTAATTTTCTTATATTTCTGTTAAATTTACGGTGTGCCAATATATAAAAAAGTAAGAAATGTTTGTGCTTGTTTTATGTCATGTACAATTCACTTACTGATCTTAGACCTAAAAGGATATGTATTAAAATATTTTTAATTTGCCCCCTCCCCAGTCTTGGAATCCGAATTAGCGGCGCCCTTATATGTATATAACATATTCAGTTTTTTATTTTGGATGAATGGCACATAATGTGTTTTTTAATTTGGTAATTATAGAAAATACGAGTATACTTACTTTTTTCTTCACATGCCAAATAGTCATAAGCAGTAGCAAATAATTCTCCCAAAATGGTCGCAACAAAAAATGATCTAAAAAAGAACACATTATTAAAAGGCAATAAAACGCAAAATAATATTTTTATCAAATCGTCATCCGTCAGTTGAGATTTGAACATTGTTGATTAAAGTTATAATTTTCATCTTAATTAGGTAATTAACAGATCCTAAATTTGAGACAATTTATAGTGGTTTTACGGCTTTCACAACCCGTGCTGTTGTTTAAAGTAAGATGTTTTTTTTTGGGTTTTTATGCCGGGGTCTATGTACTCACGGCGAAGCATTTGCAGAGTCGCAACTGAAAATGACTTCAGTGAAGAACAACGAAACGTTTAAAAGTACCTATTGGATGCGACCAGTTACAGATGCCACTACGGAACCTCTCAGACAACCACAATTGTCTGATGAGCGGTTCCATCCCTTGTGGCTTTAGAACCAACAAGAACCGAAATGAACACCAGGACGAGCTAAAGGTTCTAATAGCGCGTCCGCCCCCACAGAGCTTAGCCTGAGAACAGTCAAAGACTCCTGGTTAAGGCTAGCGAAGTGCAATGTAATTCTGGAACTGGTAGTGACAAGATACATAGACCATTGCAGAACAACTCAAAAAAACATCTTGTTTATATTGAAACAACTTAAACGAAAACGACGAATCTTACATTCCAATATATGTCGACAACGGCATATCCGTTTGGGTGGGCCTTTGACACATCGCTGGATCTACTTCATAACGTACTTTCAATTCTGTATTTTTTATCAAATTATCCATCGTCTTTTTCAATCCTAGTTCTACATCTTTGGTTGAGCAGGCGTTAGGAACACAAAGGGCCCAGTTTATACTTGAAAACCTAGGAACCCTGTGTCCTGGCTGAAACATCAATTTTGTGACATAACATTTAGATTTATACAGGGTGTTTCTAAAATAGGGTTCCAAACTTCTGCTGCGTTTATAACTCATTAAAATAAGCCAAACAGTTCCTATTAATATGTGCCCTAAAATGCACCCTTAGGAAGTTATATGCCCTTAAAAGGGCTCAAACAAAACTGTTTTTTTTTTTTTCAAATAAATTGCAGTTATGAAGGATCCGATCATTTAATAAATAATTTAGGACATAAACTAAGACTATTTAAATTTAGAGTTACACTTACTAATTAAAGAACTAATTACTACTGCAGACAATAGCTAAATGTGAAATAGAAAATAATGGGATTAAAATTAGTAATAATAAGTTAAATTACAAGAACTGCTCGAAGTGACCACCTTGCATTTCGATGCATAATCTAGCTCGACGCTTCAATGATTTGCGAACTCTTTGGAAAATTCTAGGTGTTTGCCTTATTTCCATGCACGCGGTTTCAATTTCCTCCCGTAGTTGCTGAATGGTCTCAATTGGAATTTTATAAACCTTTGCCTTAAGTTGACCCCACAAAAAATAGTCCAGGGGGTTAAGGTCAGGGGAACGTGGAGGCCAGGGAACAGGACCTCCTCGGCCTATCCATTTTTCTCCATACAACTCATTTAAGTGTTGTCTTACATTATGTAGGTAATGAGGTGGCGCCCCGTCCTGCATAAACCATATGCTTTGGCGTTCAATTAAAGGGACATCTTCCAAAAGTCCTGGCAAGTCGTTAACTAAAAAATTGTAATAATCCTCACCATTCAATCGATTAGGCAACACAAACGGTCCGATTAGCCGATCGCCTAAAATGCCTGCCCAAACGTTGACGGAAAACCGAATCTGATGTCTGGACTGAAATATGCTGTGTGGGTTTTCATCAGCCCATTCATGAGCGTTATGAAAATTGACATAACCATCTTTACTGAAGCTTGCCTCATCCGTAAACAAAATAAGAGATGCAAAATTCGGAATCCGCCTCGATTTTCGCAAAAACCATTGGCAGAACTGCCGACGCGGTTCGTAGTCATTCGGATTTAAAGCTTGAACACGCTGGATATGAAAAGGATGAAGTAGTTGTTCGCAAAGAATTCGCCAAATTACGGAAAAACTTATGTTATGCATACGTGCAACACTTCTTACACTAACCCTTGGATTGTCCTGCACAGCTCTCAATACATTTTCTTCCATCACCGGTGTTCTTACAAACCTGTCTCTGCCACGATCATTTACTCTTGGTTGGAACGAACCATTTTCTTTTAAACGTTGATGGATCCTCTGAAATACCTATCGAGAAGGAAGTCTTCTATTCGGGTATGCTGCCGCATACAGACGCCTCGCTTCTGATGCATTTCCAGCCGCACGGCCGTACATAAAGTGCATATCTGCCATTTCCGTGTTTGAATATGACTCCATTTTATGAGTTGCAATAATGTTGTATACTTAAATTTTCCACTCACCACTTTTACAAATTAAACACTGCAAATCTCAATTGACAGTTTATCAATAACTTAAATTGTTAAGCGCTGTGGCAACGTCAGTCTTTTATTTGCCATGGTAAATAGATTTTTGTAATTTTTGGCCTAATAACTTAAAGAGCAGAGTAGGTTATTATAGCCGGTGCTGAGACTTCCCCCTCCACTTTCGACCTTGGGATGACCTTGGGCGACCTTGGATGACCTTGGGCGACCTTGGATGACCTTGGGATGACCTTGGATGACGTCATCCGTGCCCTGGATGACATTGATAGAGGTCACGGTGACCTTCACTTGACCTGGATGACATTGGTAGAGGTCACGGTGACCGTCACTTGACCTCTGCATATGGGAGGAGGCATTCGACATNCAGTTTTGTTTGAGCCCTTTTAAGGGCATATAGCTTCCTAAGGGTGCGTTTTAGGGCACATGTTAATAGGAACTTTTTGGCTTATTTTAATGAGTTATAAACGCAGCAGAAGTTTGTAACCCTATTTTAGAAACACCCTGTATACATTTTCAATTAGTTTTTATACTTTTATTTTGCTTTATAGGTTATTAGGGTTAATTGAAATTACTTAATTGTAATATTTTTTATAAAAATCTTATCAAAGAGTCACGTAATATTTTGTAGCAAATCTAGTAGTTATAAATATGACTTCATCTAAAATTACATTTTATACATTACAATTTTACATATAATATGTTTCTATGTTGTTGTACATATGTTATGTAATATTGTTTTATTTGTAGCCTTGAGAAAGACACAATAAAGGTGTCGAAACGTCGGCAAAAGAGTGAAGTTGTATATTTATTTCCCCAAACCCGTTAATACCTTTATTGAATTATTGTCACAGGTGTAATATTTTTAAAAAGTTACTAATAACAATATTAAATATTTCTATACGTACATCTTCCAACTTGCTTCGAAAATGGTAATGAGATTGCATCAATTTATGCAAACCTGCCAAATACGGACTTGGCGGGGTCTCGATTTCCAAAGAGACCAAACAGTATTGCCCAAAAATATGTTTGCTGGGCAAATTAGCTGAGAGACACATATCGAAATCGCCAAATTGATTCACGTTTCCATTTAGAATTCCCGATGGCAACTTGGCGGTGGAGTCATACACTGAAATAAACTAATTAATTAGTACGTTCACGATCTCTTTACGATACTCAATTGCATTTAGAGATGCACTGAAGCTACTTTCGATTTGTTCGTATAATAGCTGGTGCACCATATTAAAGTGTACTTGTGTATGAACTTGCATTAATGTAAAGGATATGACAGGGAAGTTGCGGCAAAGCTCAAGACAGCTGTCACACTAAAGTAAACAAAGAACGGGACCGAATTTTGTTCTAAAACGTCCTAAGAGCTTAACGATGTGGTCCTTCAAAAATGTAAAACATAGTTTGAATACAACACAGGAACTTGTAAATGCAGTTTTGAATCTGGCTCCAACATGAGTTCATCTTTGCAGTTATAATTAATATGAGTTTCATATATTGTATGCATTATACAATTATAACAAAGAAGAAACATATTTTTCCTCAATAGAGAGAACACACACATATCTTAACATTTCAAGAAATAAGTGAATATACAAAAACTCTTCTAAAATGCATACAACTGATTTGGAATTTCTGATAAATTTAATAGGGCCATTAATTTCTAAGAAAAACACCAAATTTTGACAAACAATCCCCATACTTATAAGATAAATTGACAGTCACTTTACTCGTACTTACTCACTATCAACATCAGTTCAAAATTATTATCTGGATTGAAGTCATTGATAGCCATATTCTCAGCTCTGTTGTTCTAACAAATTGCTTAAATGGAGAAAATTATTTTACTTTTCCCTAAGAAATAATCTATTAGAAAATTTGTCGTTATTAACAGCTCTAGCTGTTAGAGAGTTCTTGAATGAACAATATCCTGACCTGATCGATGGACAGGAGGGAAACACGTGCACCTATAAACTAGCCGGCTTGTTCATCGGTTTGAACATCCTGCTATTTCTTTTTGTGGGGTGTCTTGTGTGGTTTATTCATCTCCAGTTATAGTCTTTCCGATTTCAACCGAAGAACCAAGAGGTTGTCAGTATGTACCAGGTTCTGTCGCTGACGCAGCAACTCGGCAATGAAATATTTGAAAAACTTGTTTCCATATTTATTTAGCCATACCCATATACAAGTCTGATTGAACTAAACGTGGAGGTGGTAGAAATGTATACGCCAAGTTGAAGAATGCGAGCGCGGACAAACGAAATGCAAACACAGCTACATTGGGCCACTGGGCAATAAATCTGAGCTGTTAACATGTGTTTGACAAATTGCCCAACAGTGCAGTGCAGCAATGCGGAATTTGGTGTGATTCAGGTAATTTTAATTTATTATAGGCACCTTCTATTAATCATTGATATTACAATTGCGAAAGGGATAAATAATATTATTACAACATGGCATTTTGGAGACCTTTTGAAACTGAACAAAACGAAATTTACCATCAATACATATAAAATTGTTTGAGGCACAAATAGTTAAAATATGTTGTTGGCCATATGACTATATAATAGAAATTTTCTACACATTATATACAAATTATTATAATTTTTTTACCTTTAGCAAAAAACTTTTTTAGGAACGCCTATGAAAGTCATAAAATATTATTGCCAGGCGTTTTTTACATGTTCAACTGACTTCGGAAAGACTATAACAGCGAATATGAATTGCATAAACGAATTTTAAATGCAACAGTTTCATTGAAATATCTGAAACGATCCAGAGGCTTCAATTCAATATTTTGTGTATATGTTAATGTATATTATGTAAGTTATTTCTTTCAGACTAATATTGATAGAACCACAGACAATATAGTTTGCCGCAAACTATACAGGGTGTCTTACCACGAAATTCATCGATGGATATCTGGAAAACCACTGGAAGGATTTTTTTGAAATTGCGGTAGTAATGGGGCCTACCAAGCTAAAATATTTTCAAGGTCATGGTACTTCCGGTTATACCGGAAGTTGATACCAACTTTCTTATTTTAAATGAAACCCCCTGTATATTATTGCATTCTTGGGAACATTGATTTTTAAGTTAAAAACATAATAATATAGCACATTCCCTACTTAGGATTGACCGTTTCCAAGATATTTTGATTTTTAGGTAAAAATTGACAGACGTAGACTGTCAGCAAAATTTAATTTTCTCGGGCGAATTGGCCTTTTTGTAGATGATATAATTTATCGGATTTGACACGAAAATTTTCCAGTTTTTATACAAGGTGACCAAAAAAATTTATCAGTTCAGAAAATGTGGAAAACTCGAAATTTTTAAATGAAAACCAACATTTTTTTAACGTATTCGCATTCTGCACTAAAATTGAGTGTCTTTGTTAAAGTTTCCCTATACCTAAATCCAGTCGTTTTCATTTTATTTACGAACGAACATTTCCCTTTTCCTAAAATTGTGTTTTCATTTGTTTCGTACATTTTAGGTTGCACAAAATGCACAAATGCTTGCCTTACTCTATGTATCCAAATTTCCTTTGTTTTTACTGGAGTACTAAATACACTATTTTTTAGTCACCCAAATAAAATAGCATCTATCACCAGATTCCATTAGAGCAGCGATTCAGAAGGAACTAATCTGAAGGTGTGAAAAATGTTTAGAAATTGAAGGAAGACATTTATTAAAATAAATTTGACAATTAAAAATCTATGACAGTTGTCATGTTGATTGTTACTTACCTGTCACAGCCAACCTAAAGGGTGCGAAACAAATGGAAACGCCATTTTAAGAAAAGGTAAATATTTGTTCGTAAATGAAATGAAAATCTCTGAACTTAATATTCGATCATTTTTTTTGACCACCCTGTATAAAAACTGGAAAATTTTCATGTCAAATCCGATATATTAGGTTTTCCTCCACAAAATGTCCAATTTGCACAAAAAATTAACTTGTGTTTGCGAAAAAACTAAATTTTGCTGACACTGCATCTTTCAATTTTTGCCTAAAAGTCAAAATATCTCGGAAGCGGTCAATCCTAAGTATAGAGTTGTGTATATGTTTTCAATTTAAAAATAAATGCGATGCTTACCTAATTAGGAGGTTAAAAGAGTTTCTATGCCACTAAAATTTTTGAAAAATTTCAAGGGTTTTAAAACAATATTCCGAAAAACTACCATTTTTACAAAAATTTTGGTGACAGAATTACAGCACAAAAATAATGACAATTGATTTACTATGGGTTGCGATGCTTAAAATATAAATTATATTATTGATGTCACGTACTTTTGAGGGCCCACAATTTGAAATTCCTCAGATCGGCGATGTACCTCTTGCTTTGCAGGTGGCACTTCCTGCTGACGCCGACGACTCCGCTAAGGTCGAACGGTGGCAACGAGGAAAACAGGAGACTGGAGAAAAGGCTGGTAGTCACTTTGTATTCCGTATCTGTAACAAAAGTGCGTCATTAGGATATTAATTCTTTCGTGTTAAAATAGCTGCAGTATTCTTTATATGTGTTAAATAATGAATATTTATGCGTTCACGCAATAAATAATAAATATAGGTGGTGATGTTTGCAAAAATTATTAATACAGGATGTTTTTGCTTTGTTATAACCTCGGGAGGCTGTTTTTGAGTCTATCACATTAAATCAAATATGTAGTGTGAAGATGTTTGATGTAGATTGATGAAATTAGTTAAAGGTAAACGGTCACTAAATCCAGAATTTCGACGCCATTGGATATTACGGAAATTGGATAAATTTATTTAATTTTTCATCTTGAATTTCATTTCTAAGAAATCCCCCACTTTCTTAATTATTAAATTTTTAATCTTGGCGATTCTACAGTTTTCTTTCTGTTTTTTGAAAATATACCTCCTCGCTATTCCTCAGATACTATACATTGTAGCTACTAATCTGTAGATACTATAAAGCCAAAATTTATTTTTTTACTGGATATTGTAAATATATTTTAATGTTAATCAGAAAATGTAAACTTACAGAGTAGTTGTTGCCTGCAATTTATTCAAATATTTTCAGTATATTTCAGATAGTCCATTAGAGTTTTTTTTAACAAAAATGATTCTAGGATTCTAATTTTGTTGTTGTCATAGGTATGTAATTACTTGGATATTTTTGTAAAGATTTTGATCTATTGTAAAATAACAAGTTTTTCTGTGACACCTAACAATAGATTTTGCTGACGTTAGAAATTGATTTTTTAAATATAGATCAGACTAGAAAGAAATATTGAATTTCATAAATATATTATTATTCACTGTACCTGTTTCATGACTTATATAGTGTTATGATGTTTTAGCAATGCGATAAAAAAATGTCGTATAAATTAATAAAAATATATTTAAATCACTTTATTGTTTTACAAAAACGAAAATAAAAAAGTTGATAAAGCATCTACAGAATTCTTCGCTTTACACAAGCTTACAGAATTAATATTCATATACAGTAGGATCTCAGCAATCTTGATGTATTACGTAAGGTTAAAGTAAGGCTAATGAACTTGAACTTCAAATATCTTTCAAATCAATTTCACAAGAAGTAGTGATTAACAATGAATATTTATAACAGGTATATAAAAAGGTTAAGGTTATGCCTTTTAATGACTTCTCAGTATCATTTGTTTGGTTTCTAGGGCCAACAGAATACCGACATGTAACTATAAAGCTTCTCATGAAACCACACTACAAAATATACTCGACAATGTAAATAACAAATATCTCCTATATGTATTTCACAGGTATTTAATTATTTTCAGTAATAAGCCCACATAGTACATTGGATGTCCATTACATGTTTAGCTGTCACCAAAATCTGCATCCAATGGATGTCTACTTTTTGTCCAATTTAAGTCCACTAAGCGGATAATACTGGATAAAATAGATGATAGATGTACTATGAATAGTATGTTATAAAAGTCTAGTAATCAGTATATCCACTGGATATCCATAAATATACAGGATGTCCCACCGGGAATCGCCACTATCGATATCTCGGAAAGTACTGATTCGATAAATCTGAAAATGGCTACCTAATAAAGGCAGTAGGGTCAACACAGCTAAAATATTTAGAACTTTATGACACTTCCGGTTATACCGGAAACCGACATTAACTTTCTTATTTTAAATGGAACACCCTATATATATTATTGCAATTTCGGATTCTATGTGAAATTTGAGAGTCACTTTATTGAATATTCCCTAGGTTATAGATTTTGAGATAAAGAAAAATTTTGACAGACGCAAGGGTCCGCGGAGATCCTTGTAACTCTTTTCAGGAGCGTGATATCAAGTGGATTTTTGGTACCTGTAAAGGGCATATGTAACACTAAATTATGGTATACCAACAAATTAAAACATTTACTACTACGTGTTTCATTTTTGCTGTTACATTTTGATAACTTCAAACAGCTATAACCTTGTTAACTTAAATGGAACCCCTGTATTTTTTTTCTATGTCGTATGCAGATTGAAATTTCCTTTCAAACCATATAAGCATTCTTACGGTTGCCGTTACTACTTTTAGAACTCATAGAGATATTCGTAATTTTTTATTTTTGTGGCATTTTTTGTCGTATCGAACCTGTTGACAAATTGACCATGACCAGAAACACTCCAAAACAATTAAAATAACTTGACATTTGCTTAATGAACATTGTTTATTATAACGTATAATTTAATATAAATCAATTTATTTTTATACCAGGAAGCTATCACTGACGTATACCTCATTCATTTCCATATATCCAGCATACTAATACAAGTAGGTATTTAAAAAATTTAAATAAACGTATAAAATTAACTTCTTCTGAGAAACATTATAGAAATATTCATTTTTGAAGTTCATCTCAGAAATCTCATTACAAAAATATTCAATACATATGTATATTTTGAAATTCTGAAGAAGGTCTCTAGTCCTAATCTTGCGTTTTAGGTGATATTAATAATAATTCAAAGTAAATAGTTGCTAATGTTGCTATGCATATTAAATGTATCTAAGTTCTACACTTGCTTTAACAAAAGCAATATTATGCTTACATGTTATCACATATTATTATATCCATTGTGTTCACTATAAAATAATTACCTTCAGCACATTCTAATTTATTCCTACAATACCTACATATTATAAAATATTTAAATAAGGAAAATTTATATCACAATTATAATTAGAATAATTAATTATTGATATATTGTTCTGAAAGGAACACTAAATGAGAAGGAATTTTTAGATATTCTGTCCTGGTTCGGTACAATGATTGAACAATCTGTGTTCAATCCACTTCAACTGTTTTTTAAATAGATACTTCGTCCACTGAACGTAGAAGGTGGGGTGCGGAAATACTATTTTCATCTGTTTCCAAAATTTCCACCGAAGATCTCTATAACGCTCTCAGCCGCCCCCAAACACCAAAGACATCGACGGAGGCCGACGCTGTCGTCACAGCTGGGCGCGCAGAAAATTTACCTCAGTTCTAGATTGTGGATAATAAAAAGTTTCTCAAATTCATCAATATTCTGATTGAGGCACGGCAACGTAAACGCCTATTATCCAAACCTAAAGCGACCCATCAAGGAAGGTGATCGAACGTTCACCTTGGACTTCAGTAACCGTGACCGGAACCTGGCCGATATGTAGTATGACAAAAAATTTAAAATTGTATTATATACAGTCAGTTACAAACACACAAACTCATTCTTGTAAACACAATTTTACCATAAATCCCAAATTTTCAGTTCAAAACATCTAGACACTAAGTTAAAATTTGCGGTGATGATCGCTTGATGATACGTCAAGTTCCTAGAAGCTTAGCCAACCATAAATAAACCTTAATCAGATATTTCTCCTAGCCATCAGGTTAAAGATTTCAGTTATAGTATTTCCGATCTTAATTGAAGAACCAAGAGGTTGGCAGTATATACCAGGTTCGATCGCAGATGCAGCAACTTGGCATTGAAATATTTGAAAAACTTGTAACATTTATTTAGCCATACCCATATACAGGTCTGATCGCCCAGTTGACGAAGTAAACACGCGGGCAAACGCGGCACAAACACAGTTGCACTGGGCGACCTGGACATAAATTCAGTTGTCAACAAATGGCCTAGCAGTGCAGTGCAGCAATGCGGAAATTGATGTGATTCAGGTAATTTTTATTTATTATTTGCACCTTCTACTAATCATTCATATTACAATTGCGAAAGGGAAAAATAAGAGGGATATTTTGTTTACTAATACTATTACATGGCATTTTGGAGACCTTTTGAAACGGAACAAAACGAAATTTACCATCAATATAATAAAATTGTTTGAGGACATAAATAATTAAAATATGTTGTTGAAATGAACATACAATAGAAATTTTCTAGATTATTATAATTTTTAACCTTTAGAGAAAACTTTTTTAGGGACACCTATGAAACTCATTAAATTTTATTGCTACGCGTTTTTATACATGTTCAACTGACTTCGGAAAGACTATACTATTTTTTTCAAAAGTAGCATTCACTTTCAGCTCATAATAGACAGCGGGAACTAGTTATTATCTTAACTTTGTTTCCCTCACATGTGATCCAAACCAATGACTATTTGATTAACTGAGTTAAAATTGTATAACTCTTTGGGATATTAAGGTTTGAATTTGCCTCATGTTGTACTGATAAAGTTGATTTTCACATAAAGTAGTTTGTAATAATAAGTATTCCAATAATCAAAACCAAAACCGAAAATTAACAATCGAAATTAGTGCTGGCAACTGAAATTGGCTTTTTGGATAGTTGGTTACCCGGTTTCGGATTTTTACGAAACTCGAGAATCGGTTATTCTATTCTTCAAATATCCGATTATTCAAATAACCGACTGTTCGATTCAAGCATCTGAATAATCTAATTCTTTCTTTATAGCCAATAACCATATATACTATAATATATGGTCTTAGTGTTATGTAGTTACTGACATTGGCTACATAGTAGATACCTGATACAAAAATTAGGTTGAACTATTAAGGGAAATACAGTTTATTTTTATATTTTATCCTGGGTCACAGACATAGATTGATAAAAAAACAATCACCACAACCATATTCAGCAAATACCAAACCCATTTATATAAATAATACATTGAAGAACCACAGTTTATTAAGTGTAACTGTTTTAACTGTTTTAACATTTTAACTTTTAACATTAGATTTAACTTTAAAATTTAAAATATGGGAATATGTGAATGACATGTTATATCCCGTCAATTTTTCAAAACACCGATTTTCTGATATCCGGTTTTGGCCATTATTCGAATAACTGAATAACCGATTTTAACCACTATTCAATTAACCGGATCTATTTGAAATCGGTTTTTACGGAACCCGATTAGCCGGTTTCACTTTTTTCCGGTTTTTGCCAGCACTAATCGAAATTGTTAAAACTTGTTG